TCCAGCTTTCATCACTATCAGGGGCCGAGGAGTCCAGGTCTCTCTCCCTCAAATACCTAACTCCTACACCCAGGCATGGGAACTCAGGACTCTGGACCCCAAACACCCGACCCCCAGACCACCAGCACCCACCTGCCTGGGATCCTGAAGACTCGCTCTCCTCCCCTCCTGCCTGGAGAGGCTTTTCACATTCGCGCCTTAGTGCCTTCCTTGTCTCTCTGGCCAATTTCTAAACATACCTGACCCTCTTGGGAGCTGGGCGCCTAATCTCAGGGTCTCTGGGAAGTAAGTAGAGAAAGAAAAAGGGCTGCTCAGGAGGGAGGTTCCCACTGGGACCTACCTAATTCCCTCCCTTCTGTTCCCTCACGCTCAACTTCCAATAAAGCAAATGACCCCCGGCTTCTGCTGCAGCCAGGCTACCCTGTACTAGGGGTTCTAAATTGGAAGGGGATGCAAATGTTCCTTAAAGGGACCCCAGAGAAGCCGCCGCGCAGTCTCGCTCTTACACCTCTCACTTACTTGTATAAAAAACTTATAAGGTGACCTGTGACAATTGTTATCCATCTGTAACTTGGAACCACTTCTTGGGGCGAAAATAACTGGGAAAACTACAACTCCCATTAGTCTAAGGGGCCAAGATGCCGCGGATGTTGACGCACTTCCCCCCCCCCCGGTCTATAGGGAGTTGTAGTTCTCTTTGAAAGTTTCCGCTCCCCCTTTTGCCTAAAAGGCAGGAAATGTGTCGTTAAGAGATTGGGCTTCCGAGAAAGGAGTCTTTCGAGAAAAAGGAAGTGAGTTCGACAAGGGGCGGGGCCACTAGGCAAGAACTAAGGGACCGGAGCCAGCGTGAACCAATTAGGTTGCTGAGGGCGGGTCCTCTGCGGGAAAGTGGGCGTGGCTTATGGGGGGGAAATCACCCAGAACGCCGCCGAGGTTCTAGCCCGGGAAAACGCCCTCTGCGGTGGAGAGGTGAGCGTCTGGGGTTTTCTAGACTCTTGGGTCCTGGGAAGGAGGAAGACCGGAGGGGTGGAAGACTGCGTCCCAGAGGAGGGCGATCTGGGCACCAGCTTCCTTAAATCCTACGATAAAAGGGGCTGGAGACCTGGAAATTTGGATCTGGGACAGAGAGGCTTGAGATCCCGGATTCCTCAGTCTGAGCGGAGAGGGTGAAGAGAGCCAGGATTCCTGGGTCTAAGAAAGGAAAGGCTGGAGGCTGGGAATTATGAGTCCCGGGAAACTAGACGCTTTGAGTCTTGTAGGAGGTGAGATGTGCGGTGGTGGGGGCTTGTCTCCTAGGTTCAGGGAAGGAGGAGGCTTGGGACAGACATCCATCTCTCCGCCCCCACAGATCACGCCGCCATGCCTCTCTCTGGGCCCCGCGCAGCCCTCCTCCTCCTGCCATCGCTTCTGCTGCTTCGCGCTGTTCTGACTGTACCCTTGGAGCGGGGTGCGCCCAAGGAGGAGAGCCCCGCGACCGAGAGCCCCGTGAGTGGCCCTGCCCTGCTCTCCAGCCAGGTGTTTGCAGTGGTACTACAATTCCCGCGGATCCCCGTGGCCCCTGGGTGGATACTTGCCCCACGGATACGGGCGAAGTTTGCCTGTTATTCTTTGCAATCCCGGGGCTTTGAAGTGGTGAAAAACTGGGGTGTGGAGGTGAAAGGGAGAAGCGGAGGGGGCATATTTCTAAGTACCTCACCCTGGGTGTGAGAATTCAGATCAGATTTTAAATAAAAAACCGGCATACCCCTACCCCCCCACACACACACACACCTAAACCCCTATGTTTTTTAGGACCATCTCTCTCCCCTCATGAGAGAATGAGAAAAAAAAAACTACGTTTCCCAGTAACACCTTGAGCAGGTGTTGTGTGTTGTTAGCTAACTAGGTTGTTCTCACTTCATGGAGCTCATGGGAGTTGTAGTTTAAATTATGAACGGGTATGTTAACTCATTTATTAATTCCAATACCTGTTTATCCAACGTTATGAAACCTTTGGTCTTAGAGGATTTGGAACTTGAAAGATCCTCAAGGCCAATGCCCTGATTTATGGCCTAAATCCTGCTGCATCTCCCACTAGGAATGAGCACATCCCGATCTCTGGAGCTTGTCACTATCGCTGAAACAGATTTCATGCTCCCTTGTGCCAGGTCCCCAACCATCGAGTTAGGTAGGCCTCTGCCTGGTGAAATCTTTGCAGTCACGGAAGGGCACCTTTGAGTCCTCTTTCCCTTCATTCCCACACATTTCTTGAGCATTTTCTATGAGCCAAGCATGGTGCTAGCATAAGCCCCATACCCTTACAGACCAGCCTAACTCACTGGGAAGAGAAAAGGTTGGGCTCCTGAGAATGGAGACCAGGGGTGATGGTCAGGGAGGAAGGCTTATTTGAGCTGAGATCGTAAGTTCAGGGAAGAACCATTCCAGGAAGAGGGAACAGCCTGAGCAAATGTTCTGTGGAGGGGGAGAGCAGCATGAGAAGAGGGACTTGGAGGAGGCCAGTGTGACTGGAGCAGATGGAGCAAGAGGGAAATGAAGTCAGAGAGGGGATGCGGCAGATCACGCAGGGCCTTGTGGGCCATGATAGGGAATTTCTTTATTCCAAGGCTAATGGAAAGCACAGAATATTATAAACACCAATAACAACAACAATCATAATAACTGCTCCTACTAAGCACCAGACACTGTGTTAAATATTTAAAGACATTAACTTCTCACAACAGCTCCTATGAAGTGGGTTTTCATTAACCTTACTTTACAGATAAGGAAACCAAGGCACAAAAAGGTTGAGTAACTTGCCCAAGGCCTAAGTTTGCCAGATTTAGCAAATAAAAGCACAGGACACCCAGTTAAATTTGAATTGCAGATAGACAATGAATAATTATTAATATAAGTATAACCCATTCCATATACTAAAAGTAATTCATCGTTTATCTGACATTTAAATTTAGTTAGGCATCTTAGCAGTCCTAACAAGGTTATATAGCTAGTAATTGGCAGATTTGTGATTCTAGCCCTTTTGGCTGAATAACAGTCCCCGAAGTTGTCCACGCCCTAATCCCTGGGACCTGTGAATATACAGTAAAACCTCGGATTGCGAGTAACGTGGTTTGCGAGTGTTCCACGAGATGGGCAAACATTTCTAATGCATTTTAACGTGTTAAACGATCAATGTCTTGCAATACAAGTAGTTTGTTTCCGGAACGAATTGTGCTCTCAAACCAAGGTATTACTGTATTACCTTTTGTGGCAGAAGAGTGTTCATAGGTGTGATTGAGTTAACGGTCTTGAGATGGAGATGTCCTGGATCAGGTGGACCCAGTGTAATCACAAGGGTGCCTATAAAAGGGAGGCAGGAAGGTCAGAATCAGAGGTAATGTGATGATGTATGAAGACGTCAGAGTGTTGCAGGGCCATGAGCCAAGGAATACAGGCAGCCTATAAGAGCTGGAAAAGACAAGGAAATTGATTGTTCCCTAGAGCCTCCAGGACGAGCTGAGCACAAGCTCCGCCAACCCATTTTGGACTTCTGACCTCCAAAATTCTAAGAAAGAATTTGTGTTGCTCTAAGCCACTTTTAGTCTATGATACTTTGTTTCATCAACAGTAGGAAATTAGTTCTCCCACGGTGGCATCATAGAGTGATTTGCTACCATTTATTAAGTACCTACTGTGTTCTCCCCAATTTATGTAGTGGGAGCTATAGCACATTGAACATCTAGATCCTTACCATTGTGCCAGGTCATTTATCTTATTTACTTTTCAGCACGGCTCTGTAGGGAATTTAATGGCCTATTTTACAAATAGGAAGAGCGAGGCCCAGGAAGAAGAAAGTGCCAGGGCATGGCAAAGCTAGGACCAGGAGCCCAGGGACTTTTTTGGTCTCTTTCACTTGCTGTGTCCCCATATAGTGCCTAGCATGTGGCAGGGTGCTCAGAGAATGCTTGTTGAATGAATGAATATTCCACTGCTTGCCAACAAGTACCAGTGCGTCTATGAGCACCCACTCTCTGGGTGGTGTTGGGCCGGGTGTTCACCCATGTGATTTTCATTTCATCTCCACTACAGACCTGGAGAGAAGTAAGAGCCGTGGCCTGGAGGTCAGGCAGGTGGCCTGGAGGTCAGGCAGGTTGCCTGGGGTTACAGAACAGACAGGATTGGAACCAGGGTCTGCTAGCTCCAGACACTTTGTCCATGGGGCAGGCCTCTGCTCTGTGGGAGGGGGGAGTGTCTCTGGGTCTCTCAGCAGACACCCAGGAGAGTGAGACGTGGGTCCTACCTGCAGGGAAGGACTAGGGTGGGGGCTGGAGCCGCTATGTTTATCCTTGTCACCACAGGACACAGGCTTGTACTACCACCGGTACCTCCAGGAGGTCATCAATGTGCTGGAGACGGATGGGCACTTCCGAGAGAAGCTACAGGCTGCTAACGCTGAGGACATCAAGGTGTGGCTGGGTGCCAGCGGCGGGAGGGGACGCTTGCTCAGAGGGCAGAGTTCGGGAAGAACCAGGTTCCCTAAAGGGAACACGTGGCTCCAGTCCTCACAAAACAACCTTGGGAGAAGTTGCTTCTTGGGGGTCACAAAACTGGAAAGGGACTTGGGGAGCACAGAATGTGCGGTTAAACATAGAGGTGGATGGCACAGGCTGCCAGCCTTAGCTCTACCACTTACCAGCCATGTGACCGCCCCGCACTGTGCTTCAGTTTCCCCATGTGTAAAAGGGGGTGTGATAGAACCTGCCTCCTGGGGTTCAGATTTGGACTATCCCAGGTAAGATGTGTAGAGGGCTTAGACCAGCACAATAGCAGTCCTTAGTAACTGCGTGTGAGTGCTGGTTTACTGAGAACTCAGCACAGTGCTTTCTGCATGAGAAAAATCACCTCCAGAGGAGCCTTGATTGTCCCCATTTTGCAGAATAGAACACTGAGGCCCTGGTAGCAGTGTTTGTCCTTCCTGTGGGCTTAAATCTCACCCCCTGGGATGGCTGACCCCCAAACCCACACCCCACCCCATCCCATCCCCCAGGCAGCATCCCTCGGAAAGGATGCTGGAAGTCCCCCCGGGGGAGCCAGGGCAGCCGCCCCAGGTCCCTGCCCCACTCCTCCTCCCACCCTACCATACACAAACCCCTTCCCTGTTCTGGTGCCTCTTGGAATGTCCCTTCTGGAGGAGTCACCCCAAGTTTTCCAAACACCTGGTCCAGGAGAGGCCCCAGAGCCACGCCCCCTGTCCCCCCCCCCCCGCCCCAGGGCTCAAGAAACCTATGTGAGTCATGAGTTTCAGAAAATTATTTGAGCAATAACAGATAGCAGAGGGCTCTGGGCGGGGCCCAGTCCAGTCTGACAAGTGAGAGAGCAATTCGAGGGAAAGTGAGGTTTGATTCTGAGTGGGAGTGTCCATGGTATAAAAGTTGAAGTGTAGGGGGGAGGGGGAGTGACATTTCAGACAGTAGGAACTATGTGCCAAGAAAGCAATTTGGTACCTTCAGCTGTTTGCTGGCAGCTCCTTATAACCGACATAAACTCTGGGGAGATGGGGCTGGAGGGGTGGGTGATTACAGGGTCTTGAGTGCCAGGCCCAGGAATTCTGCCCTGGGGGCATTAGGAAGCCACAGGTGGCTTCTGACTGAGACATAATTCAAAGTGATAATAGAGGTAGCTCAGAAAAGACATCCTGCTCTGCAGAGAGAGAGAGAGAGAGAGAAGGGGCCAAAGGGGCTATTGGGGGAATTCTTCCCAAGGGAGGTACCATCTGCCTTGAGTTTTGAAGGGTAGCAAGGATCTGGTTAGGCTTAAAAAGCAATGGTGGGGGCCAGCTGAGTGGCGCGTTGGTTGGGAGTTGGCTTGGGATGCTGGCTCTGAGCAGCAGGGCCCCGGTTTGGATCCCACATTGAGGCCGGTGACGCTGCGCCCTCTATGGCTGGGATGGTGAACGGCAGCTCAACCTGGAGCTGGGCTGCCAATGGGTCGCCGGCGATGGCGTGGGCTGCAATGGAGCTGGCAGGTAGCTGGCATGAGCTGCCTGCCGTGAGGGGCTGTGGACGGCCCTCCAATGGCAGGCGGGTGACTGCCTCACCCAGGAAGAGTGCAGTGGTGATGCCAACATGGGCTAGATGTCTTCCACAACTAGACTGAAGAACAAAAGGACAGCAACTTGTCTGTTCCCCTCCCCCAATTCCCCAATAAAATCTTTAAAAAAAAAAACAGGGGTGGGAGAGCTTCCTAGGCATGAGGACCAGTATGTGCAAAGGCCCTGAGGTGGGCAGAGCCTTGAGCATGGGATTTACACCCATTTATCAAATCACAAGAGTGTGACTTGATAAGTGGCAGGAGATGGGGCTGCAGAAGTGGGCAGGGCCTCAAATGCCAGGTTGAGGGGCTGGGACCTTGTCTCACGAGCTCTGGGGAGCTTTAGGGGGCATCATAAAGCTTGTAGAAGGTTTCAGAGAGGGCAGAGAAAGGACGAGCCTACCCAGTATGCCCCTTCCCAGGCCCTCTGCCTTACCAGTCCCCTCACTCTCTGGGCAGAGCGGGAAGCTGAGCCGGGAGCTGGACTTCGTTAGCCACCATGTTCGTACCAAGTTGGATGAGCTCAAGCGACAGGAGGTGTCCCGGCTTCGGATGCTGCTCAAGGCCAAGATGGATGCGGAGCAGGAGCCCAGTAAGCAGGGGTGGGGCAGGTGGGGCAGGAGCAGCCTCCCTCCTGGGCCTCCAGGTGATTTCATAGTAGACAGGTGGGGCCTCCTGGGGCCTCACTCTCCCGCACTGCAAAATGTGCATGGATAGTTGATCGTATTTTCTTCCTAGAACAATAACTCTGTTGTTGGTTGGTTGGTTTTGTGGTGGTTTTTTTTTTGCTGAGCCATCCTTCCACCTGTTGCCAGCTCAGCGGCACCTCAGCTAGGGCAGGGCATCCAACCGGCGACTCTGTTGCTTGGAGCTCGCACTCTTGAGCGAGCGCTTAACCAACTGAGCCACTCAGCCAGCCCCAGTTGGTTGTTTTTTTCTGTTTGGGTTTTTTATTTTTATTATTTTTAATTAATTTTTTTTCATTGGGGAACAGCCATGGTCATTGATTATACATTGCTTTCATGCTACAATGGTATAGCTGACTCTTAGGGAGGGCGCAGCTCACAGTGGCCCATGCGGGGATCAAACCGGCAGCCTTGGTGTTATCAGCACTGTGCTCTAACCAACTGGGCTAACTGGTCACCCCTTATTTTTATTTTTCAAAATCACTGTCATTTAAAATGTTGAGGGCCGGCCGAGTGGCTCAGTTGGTTAAGAGCTCGCTCAAGAGCTTGAGCTCTGAGCAACAGCGGTTCGATTCCCAGCCCAAGCTGAGCAGCCGCTGAGCTGCCAACAGGTGGCAAGATGGCTCAGCTTAAAAAAAACACAAAACAAAAGCTAAAATGTTGATATAACTTCAAACATACAAAAAAGTTGCAAGAATAGCTCAAACTCCCAAATACCCTTAGCCCAGGGCTGGCCGAGTGGCTCAGTTGGTTAAGAGCTCATTCAAGAGTTTGAGCTCTGAGCAACAGCGGTTCGATGCCCGGCCGGAGCTGAGCTGCCAACAGGTGGCAGAAAGGCTCAGCTAAAAAAAAAAAAGAACCAAATACCCTTAGCCCAGATTCTCCAGTTTTCAACGTTTGCTCCATTTACTTTTCATTCACATTTGTGAGTTCCTTACCAATACTATGCCATTTTTGCCTGCTTAAATACTTCAGTGTGATTTTCCTCAGAACAACATTTGCCTACATAACCACAGTACAATGATCAAAGTCAGGAAGTTTAACAGGTTTACACTGTATTTTTTTCCTTGCTTAGTTATTCTCTATCTCCCCTGCCAGAATGATTCTAATTTGCTGTCATTCATATCCGAGGCTATATGTGTCATCTAATTACTTGGCTAAAAAAAAAAAACTGTCTGGAAGAGAAAGGTTTGGGCAGGTGTACTGGGTTGTCGGAAAAGTCATGATGTATTTTTTTCTATGTTTTTCGTTGCAAAAATGCATGACTTTTCTGACAACCCAATAAATTCCAAGATCCCATCCTATTTCTAACATTCCAAGATATGGTTTGTCGAAGTGTGTGTCAGGGCCATGCTATTTCTTTTAAATCGCTTTATTTAGATATAATTCATATAACATACAATTTACCCATTTAACATACAATTATACCCAAAGTGTATAATTCAGTGGATTTTAGTATATTCACAGGTATGAGGGACCATCACCAAAGTCGATTTGAGAGTAGTCATCAACCCAACAGGAAATCTCATATCCTTTAGCTATTACTCCCTTATTCTCCCACCCCAGCCCTGGCAACCACTAACATACTTCTTGTCTCTATAGAGTACCTATTCTGGACATTGCATATAAATGAAATCATACAGTATGTGACCGTTTGTGTCAGGCTTTTTTCACTTCGCGTAATGTTTTCAAGATTCTTCCATGTTGTAGCCTGGATCAGTGTATCGTTCCTTTTAGGGCCGAGGAATATTGCATTGTATGCATCTACCACATTTGGTTTATCTATTCATCAGTTGATGGACATCTGGGTTGTTGGCATGCTTTGACTACTGTGGACCATGCTGTTTACTTATTGCCTCTTTGTAGTATGTTCTGGTACTGCTGGGGCATGTTTTGGCCTGTCACTAAGTGTAAGAACATGCTCCCTTTATTAAGAATCGTCACCAGCTTCTCCTTTTCATCTCTTGACACCCCGTGAGGCTCCCATGTTACAGATGGGGACCCTGCACATGAGTGGATAGCTTTAAGGATCAATGGGAGAGCTGGCTTTTCTTTTTATTTCTGTCTGACTCCATTTATCCATGGACCAAACATGTCTTGAGTTCTATTGTGTGCCAGGCACCTCTAAGGTGACCCAGTGGGCATGGTTTCTGGCCTTCTCTGCTGTGCTGCTTTAATTATTACAGTGTCAGAGTCTGATTTGATCGCTGGTAAATGACTGTATTTTGCCGTGTATAATGTGCTCCCATGTATAATGCGTACCCAAGTTTTTAACCCAAAGTTTCAGGGGGAAAAATCTTTTGTTGTAAAATTTTAATTCAGGGCTGGCCAAGTAGCTCAGTTGGTTAAGAGTTAGCTTAAGAAGGGGACTGCCGAGTGGCTCATTTGGTTAAGAGTTAGCTTAAGAGCGCGAGCTCTGGCCAGTGACGCTGTGCCCAAGCTGAGCTGCTGCTGAGCTGCCAAGAGGTGGCAGGATGGCTCAGCTGGTGAGAGCACATGCTCCTAACAAGATTGCCTGTTCGATGGTGGGCTATGCCCACCCGCAACTAAGACTGAACTGGGCACCTTGAGCTGAGCTGCCACCTGGATGGCTCAGTGGATATAGCATGTGCTCTTAACAGCAAGGCTTCTGGGTTCGACTCCCGCATGGGATGGTGGCTATGCCCACCCTCAACTAAGATTGAACACAGCACCTTGAGCTTAGAGGCCACCAGGTGCTAACGGGCAGCCAGATGGCGACTGGTGCTCTCCACAACTAAGACTGAAGAACAACAGCTTGGCTGGTCCCCTTCCCCAGTTCCCCAACACTGTTCCCCTCCCCCAATTTCCCAATTTAAAAAAGAAAAGGTCTATCTAATAAAAAAATAATACCAAATAAAAAATAAATTAAAAAAGATAATAAGATTTTAGTTAAAAATTTTTTGTGTGTTCACGCAAAAAAATTAGGTACTTGGTTTTGTATTTAAAAAGGAATTTTAGCATTTATTTTTTAACATATGGTACAAGAAGTTTTATGAAACAAATAATTGTGAAATACAAGAACAGATCAGATACAAGGTACAAGAAATTTTATGTACTGGTAACAAATTTACGATATTTACGCATCATAGAAGGCCAAGAACTCTTTATCATTGAAAGTTTATCATAAATTCAACAAAATCGATTATCGTATTCCAGGGTATTACTTTGCATATGGATATTGTTATTGATTTCTAGAGTTACACTTTTAACTCATAAACATTAAAAAAAGAATTGAAAACATTTCTATGGATATGGAATTAGTACTACCGATGTATAGTGTGCATCCCTATTTTTCCCTCACAAGAAAATGCACATGATACACGGCAAAATACGGTAGATGTTCCCTTGTCACTAATGAGAAAAACATCTCCTGGTTATTGTCTGCTTATTATGTCTCAGGCACCATGCTATGGACTTTAACTTTGTCTCTTTCACAACTCAAAATATTGCCAGAATCTGGCCACTTCTTTCATATCCACTGCTGCCCCTCAGGTCCCACCTGGATTATTGCTGTCGCCTCCCCACTGCTGCTACCCCTGCTATTGCCCATATTTTTTATTCTATTTTCCACACAGCAACCAGTGAGATCCTGTTAATAACTGTATTCATTTCCTGTGGCTGCTGTCACAAATTACGAAAATTTAGTGGCTTAAAATAACACATTTATTCCCTTAAAGTTTGGGAGTCAGACGTCCACAATCAGTCTCACGAGGCAGGATCAAAGTGTCAGCAGGGCTGGATTCTTCTTGGAGGCTCCAGGGAAATATCTGTCTCTGCCTTAGCTTCTAGAGCTGCATCCTTAACTGGTAGCCCCTTCTTTCCTCTTCAAAGCCAGCAGCGTAGCATTTTTCTTTAGTGGTCACATTGCCTTCTACTGTCGTCACATCTCCCTCTTAATTTAGCCTCCCTCTTATAATTTTAGGGACCACCCAGGCAATCTTCCCATCTCAAGATCCTTAATTCAATCACTCCTGCAAAGTCCCTTTGGCCACATGAGGTCACATACTCACAAGTTCCAGGGATTAAGATGTGGACATCTTGGGGGCCGTTATTCAGACTGCCACACGCCCAATTAAAGTCCTGTGTTGCCTCTGCTCGAAATCCACCCATGGCTCCCCAGTGCCCTCAGTATCAAGTCCACCTTCCTCCTTGCTGCCTGGAAGCCTGGCAGAGCCCTGCCACCCTTGCCCCATCCCATCCTCACGTGTGCACCCTCTTGCCTGAACCTCTTGCATCAGCATTTTTAGTAAGTGCTGGAATGCAACATGTCTTTCTCCCCACAGGACCTTTTGCCCGTGCACTTCCCTCTGCTTGGGACATTCTTTCTCGGAGCTCTTTGCATGGCTGACTGAGCTTTGCTTTCAGCTCAGATGTCACCTCCTCAGAGAGTCCTGCCCTGACCATCCTGCATGAAGCATCCTCCATTTGTTGAGTCTTTTGTGGTCATGTGTTCATCTCTTAGTTGCTTGTTCTCTGTCTTTTGACTGGGTGCTCTGTGGAGCAGATTCTGTCACCATCTGGTTCCTGCTGTGGCCATAGTGCCACAGAGTAGGGGCTCAGCATGCATCTGTGGCATAAAAAATGAATCGAGTTTCAGCCTGTGCCCGTCTCCTGAGTGCTTTTCCCTCTTCTGGGCTCACTCAAGCCAGACAGCTGCCTCCATGGCAGCACGGGGCACCTGGATTCCATCCACTTGGGTATGTGTCTTTCACCCACACCAGACCAGGAGCCACTGGAGGGCCAGCCCAGGCCTAATTCACATCTGGGCCCCTGGGAGACCGGGGAAGACGGGAGTTCAGTGAGTGAGTGGGTGTGAGTGTCTGCACTCTCTCCTTTCCTGCCCAGAAGCCCTACCGTTTCCTGACCACTTGGAAACTCCTGTAGGAGGAAGTTGCATAGTTTCCTAGGGCTCTTGTAACAAGGTGCCACAAACTGCATGGATTAAACCATGGGCATTTATTGTCACAGGTCTGGAGGCCAGATGTCCGAAATCAAAATGTCGGCAGGGTTGGTTCCTTCTGAGGTCTGAGGGAAGGATGTATTCTAGGTCTCTCTCTTTAGTTTATAAAAGGCCATGTCTTTTAACATCATCTTGCCTCAATCCAAATGTAACCTTTTTGTAAGGACACCACTCATATTCTATTTGGGTCCACCCTAATGACCTTGTTTTAACTTGGTTACCTCTGTAAAAACCTTCTCTTCAAATAAGGTCACATTCTGAGGGCCGGGAGGTTAGGACTTCAACAGATGAATTTCAGAGCTCACAATTCAACCTGTAACGGGTTGAGTGCGTGTGCTTCAGAGCCCAGCTGCTGGTTCTAATCCTCACTCTGTCACTTCCTAGATGGTGACCTAGAAAAGGCACTTCCCCTCTCTGGGCCTCGTTTTTCACATCCATAGATGTGAAAATGGGATAAATATAGAATACCTATGGGATTACCATAGAACCTGTGTTGTAAGATTCTTGTGAAAAGTAAATGAATTAATATAGTTAATGTGTTTAGAGCAGGACCTGGCATATAGTAGTAAGTGCTCAATACATGTTAGTTGTTATTGTGCTTATTATTTGAAGCATGAGACTCAGTTGTGGCATCACCTCCTACAGGAAGCCCTCCCTGATTGCCCCAGGCTCAGTCAGGCTGTCCTCTGGCCTTTCCTAGTGCCTTTTGTGACCTCCTTTAGAGCATATCTAGCTCAGGATAGAGATTTTGCAAGAAAGGACATTCTGTGAGTTGGGTTTTTTTTTTTCCTTTTCCCCCTTATTTAGATGTACAGTTGGATCACTTGAGCCTCCTGAAGCAGTTTGAACACCTGGACCCCCAGAATCAGCACACGTTTGAGGCCCGGGACCTGGAGCTGCTGATCCAAACGGTAGCATGAGGAAAGGGTGGCTACAGGCAAAGGACTGAGGGAAGCTTTGCGGAGGGGGAAAGGGGAACAAAGCCCGGGACATAAACCTGCTCACCCCTGCCTGGTGTTCTCCGAGGTCGGCAGCTGCAGCCTGATGGTATCTAAAAACCCTCCCTAGAGTCTCTATAGGAAAGCAGAGGTGTAGGAAGGCTCCACTCAGACCGGGTTTTAAATCCCTCCCTGGCTTTGTCCTTCCCATATGACCTGGGGCGAGGGCTGTCCCTGCCGTGCCCTTGTGGTAGGCAAAATAATGGCCCTCCCACCAAAGAGATCACACCCTCATCCATGGAACCTGTGGCTGTGTGACCTTATAAGGCAAAGGGATTCTGCAGACACGATTAAGGATTTGGGTTGGTGAGATGATCTTGGATATTCCAGGTGGACCCTAAATGTCATCACAAGAGTGAAAGGGAGGCAGAGGGAGGTTTGACTACAGTAGAAGGTGGCAATGTGACAACTGAAGCCTGCTGGCTTTGAAGATGGAAGAAGGAGCCACAGCATGGAATGCACTCTAGAAGCTGGAAAAGGCGAAGAAACGGATTCTCCCCCAGAATCCTCAGAGCGTGTGTTGTTTTAGGCCACCAAGTTGATGACAATTTGTTATAGTAACCATTGGAAGTTATACAGCCCTCATCTGAAAAATGGGATCTACAGCCCTACCTAATGGGGAAGCCCAAATGTGGGGTTGGGGAGTAAAGGGGAAGCCCAGGCCTCCCCTGCCTCTCCTGCTCACAGCCCTTCTGTGAGGACAGAACATACCTCAGTCTGAGCTGGGCCCTGCTTTTCTGGCCCACTGGAGCTCCATCTAATGGCCATGAAGATAATGGCAGCAGCCATTTGAGTCCATGCCTGACACTTGGCTCCATCCCTAAGAGATGTTTTGCCACTTATTTCCAGACCATTCCAGAAACTGTCCACTTTTCTCCAACCCCACTGTCATTATCCTGGTCTCAACCCCTACCATCTCACAAAGCCACTTTCTCACTAGACGTCTTGCTTCTGCCTTCCAAGCTTGCCAACAGGGTTTCCCAACACAGCCCTCTTGACATTTGGGGCTGTATGATTCTTTGTTGTGAGGGCTGTTTGTGCATTGTGTGCATTGTATGGTGTTTAGCCATTTCCCTGGCCTATGTCCACTAGATGCCAGTGTGACAACCTCTGTTGTGACAACCAAAGATGTCTTCAGACATTGACAGTTGTCCGTTGTGGGCCACAATCGCCCCAGGTTGAGAACCTCTGCTATACCACCTGTTCCCCTACACGACAGCCATATTAGTTTCCTTTTGTTGCCATATAATAACCACAAACTTAGTAGCTTAAAACAACATGAATTTACTGTCTTACATTGTGATAGGTCTGCTGATAAAAGGAGCATGCACTATCAGGCAAGTTAAAGTTTATTGTAAAAGAGAAAAGTCTATGGGGCTGCACAAAGACCCAAAAGAGGGGGTTCGGAGGGTTATATAGGGGTGGTGCTGACAGGGTAGCATTGTTTGAACAGAAAATGCTGATTGCCTGCAAGCCAGTAGCTGTTTTGTGGCATCTTCTGTTATCTCAAGTATGGCTCTGTCCGTAAGTCAAGGGCTCTGAGACCTAACATTCAGAAACCTAACACATTGTAAGACAAGTCAAGAAGGGTCTTACTGGGTGTATTAGTTTCCTGAGGCTGATGTAACAAATTGCCACAGACTTGGTGGCTTAAAACAACAGAAATATATTCTCTCACAGTTCTAGTGGCCAGAAGTCCAAAATCAGTATCATTGGGCCAAAACCAAGGTTTTGGCAGGGCCGTGCTCTTCAGATGCTATAGGGAAAATCCTGCTCCTCGCCTCTTCCAGCTGCTGGAGGTTCCAGCATTCCTTAGCTTGTAGACATGTCACTCCAGTTTCTGCCTCCATTGTCACATGATGTTCTCCCTGTATCTCCCTGGGTCTTCTCTGTAGCCTTCTTATAAAGACACCAGTCGTTGAATTTAGGGCCCACCCTAAGTCAGTAGCACCTCATCTTAGCTAATCACATCTGCAAAGAACCTATTTCTGAGGTTCTGGGTAGACATGAATTTTTTGGGGGACACCATTCAACCCAGTATAGTATTGTTATCTCCATTTTACAGAGGCAGAAATTGAGGCACAGAGAGGCTGAGTAACTTGCCCGAGATCTCACAGTTAATGGGATTTGTTCACACAGCAGAGCCTGTATTTGCATTCTGGGCAAAATAGAGACCGACTGTTCTTTACCACCTAGCTGTACTGCTTTTCATATTAAGTCTACCTTGTGTGTTTTCCTTATTACTTACGAGTAGTCCTCCAAGATCCTGAGATTGGGATGACTTGAAAGAGGTAGGTTAAAGTTGCTATGGTGTAATCATCCTAATCTTTTGAACAAAAAGTGGAGGCTGTGTTTTACGGCAAGAGTGGGTCATAGAGATGAAGAAATGAGATCCAAGACAGGGTGGAGTTTGGGTCAGGTTCGGAGTGAAAGGCCGGGCATTTGGAGGTTGGGATTAGGGGTTGGACACACAGATGAGATGCAAGTGACCATCTGCCTTTCTCCAGGCCACCCGGGACCTTGCCCAGTACGACGCAGCCCACCATGAAGAGTTCAAACGCTATGAGATGCTCAAGGAACACGAGAGACGCCGTTATCTGGAGTCACTGGGAGAGGAGCAGCGAAAGGAGGCAGAGAGGAAGCTGGAAGAGCAACAGCGACGGCACCGAGAGCACCCCAAAGTCAATGTGCCTGTAAGGACCCCCATTCCTGCCTACCCACCATCATGTTCAACTCTCCAAGCTCCACAAGATAAGAATGTAGCTGAAAAGCTATAACTCCAGCAGACCCTGAGGCAAACAGTCCCTTTTAATGTACCCAGCTGCCCCCAGGGGCTGCTGGGAGTTGTAGTTTTCTTACTTGAGGTGCATGACATTTGCAGGGTAGGGGTAAAGGATTTTCTAGCTTTATCCTGTAGGACCCAGACTTTTTGCTCATAAGCCCCTGACTCTCCTCTCTACAGGGCAGCCAAGCCCAGCTGAAGGAGGTGTGGGAGGAGCTGGATGGATTGGACCCCAACAGGTTTAACCCAAAGACCTTCTTCATACTGCATGGTAAGGTGGAGAGGGAGCCCCAAGACCCAGGCTGAATTCTGAGACTCTGACCTTTTGGGGGCCTGAATGCTAAGAAGAAAGTCTCCCCATCTCTGTGGGTCATAGGCAGGCCAAAGAGGTCTGAGCCCATCTCCACTGGTGATCTACATTGCTAGGCTCTACCATGGAAGAACTAGGCCTCTTCTGAGATACAGCTGACCTCTGGGTCTAAGAACTGGCCAGTATCCTCTAGCTGAGTAAACCAGTCTTGGCTAAGCCTGTGGCCCCTCCCAAAAGGGCTGGTCCCCTCTGGGAGCCCTGTCACTAAGGGCAGGCTGCTCCCTAGGAAACGGGCCTCTAAGGAGCCCCTTCTCCACAGTGGTTCAAAGGCTATTTCCCTTTATTATTTATTATGTTTCTACCTGGAAACATAGCCTGGACTTGCCAGCCCCCTTAGGTGTGCCCAAGACCCTGACCCAGAAGCTATAACCTGTCAACAGAATTTAGCAGGGCCTGGTTCATTCATTCAGTAAATGTTTACTAAGCAACCTCTAAGGACCAAACTTTGTGGAGACCCCATGGATACAGCTGTGAACAAACACACACACAACACATACAGAACCAGTGATCAGGCAAACAGACAATTCTGTATTTCAATGAATTTAAGAGACTGTGAAGTGTAAGATGCACTAGAATTTTTACATACACGTATGCTACTAATTAAACTGACACACCATCAATGATAAGATGCCTCTCGATTTCAAGGATGATGATAAAATATGGGGGGCGGAGTACATCTTAGAATCAAGGAAGTAGGTTCTCTAGCAGAGTCTCAGGTAGTGACACGTACCATGGAAAGGAGGATTAGGGTCTAGAGAGACAATTTTTGGTAACCTGATCAGGAAAGGTTTTACTAGATCAGCCATTGTAGAACTTGCTGTGTTTATGGAAATAGTCTATGTCTGTACTGTCCAGTACAACAGCCAACCATGTAGCTGTTTCAACACTTGAAATATGGCTCTTATGATGAAGAAACTGATTTTTTTTTTTTAGTTTCAATAAATTTCTTAAGATTTGTAATTCTGGTAAAATACACATAAGATTTCCTCTATTTGCTATTTTTAAGTGTGCAGTCCAGTATGTTATGTACTTTCACACTGTTGTGCAACTGATCTCCAGAACTCTCTTCATCTTCATGAAACTGAAATTCTGTATTGCTCAACAACTCCCATCACCTCTCCCTCCAGCTCCTGGTGACCTGTCTTCTCATTTCTGTCTCTATGGATTTGACTACTCTGGCTAGCTCATATACGTAAAATCCTATAGTATTTGCCCTTTTGTGGTATAATGTCAAGGAAATTATTTTTTTCATTTGATTCTTATTAATTTAAATTAATCTGCTCCATGTGGCTAGTGACTGCTGTGTTGGACAGCATAGCTCTAGGGAGATGGCTGTTTTTGAACATGGACTTCAGTGAAGTGAGGGGTTGCACCTTGCAGATATTTGAGGGAAGAGTGTTTTAGGTGGAGGGCACAGTAAGCACATACAGAGAAGAATGGACTTGGTCCATCCAAGGTCACAGCTGGGGGTTAAGGCATTTGGATTTTATTCTGTCTGTGATGAGACACCACAAAGGGTTTTGAGCAGAGGACTGACACCAGGTGCCTTAAGGGTTGACAGAATCCATCTGGGTGCTGTGTCAAGGACAGATTGTACCGGTGAAGGTCAAAGCCAGAGGCCTAGTTAGGAAGCATGAGATGCTGGTAGTTGGACCATGAGAAGGAAGGAAGAGTGTTTGGATTCTGGATTCATCTTGAAGTCAAGCTGATAGGATTTGCAGGTAGACTGGATAAGGATGATGAAGGAACAGAAGGGTCAAGGGTGACTCCAAGGTATTTGGCCTGAACAACTGAAAAAATGGAATGGAAACAGCAAGTATGTTTGGCAGAGCAGCTTGGGAACCGGGTCTGTTCATGCTAAATTAGAGATGTCTATTAGACATTTCCGTGGAGATGGAGTGTAGGCAGTTGGATATTCATGTGTGGAGGCGCCTTATGGGTGGCATTGAATGCTGAGGGACTGGAGGAACCCATCTAAGGAAGTGCCAGCCAGTAGTACTCTCTTTCTAATGATGGACTGGAAAGCGTTCTGTGCCACCCAGTATGGCAGCCACCAGCCACATAAGACACTTGACTTGTAGTAAGTAGGACTGATAAATTAAAATTTTAATCTCATTTAATATTAACCAATTTAGAAAGCTCATGTGGCTAGTGGCTACCATATTAGACAGATTTGAAGGTTAGACAGAGAAGAGACCCCATGCTTGAGCCCTTGGGTACAGGAGGAAGGAAGAAGAGGTCAGGAGGAAGGGGAAGCCAGCAAAGGAAAAAGAGGGGACAGGAGAGAATGATGTTCTGGAAGCCACAGGCAGGAGGTCAAGTTAGATGCCAGCTAAAAATTAACAGTTAGTTTTGCAAGGGCAGGAGTTCTGGCCATCTCAGCAGGACCAGTGTGGGTGCTGATCTGAGTGAGCAGAGGAGTTGGAGACAGTGAGCATGGCCCATGTGGTTATACAAGCTGGGTTGTCAGGGAGAAACTCCTCTGGCAATTGGGGTTGGCCCTGGCCTGGTTCTCTGGGAGGCAGAGGCTCCCGACACCCCTGGATCCTGGGCAAAGGGGTTGATCCTGTGCCCATATCACTAGGTGTTAGGGATCAAGTCATCCTACGTGACAGTGACCCCAGGAATGTTCCCAGTGAAGCCCCACCTTCATCTGCTCCATTCTCAGGACCCTGGTTGGTAGGGAATGGGCTGTCCTAGCAACGGGTCTATGTGGCACTGAAGCCTGGAGGCCACCATGCCACTGTCAGACACCTGTTGTTACCTGTCCTCTAAAACAGACCGCACATCAGCCCAAATTCCTTCTCCAGCTGGTCCCTTAGGGACCTGACCCACCTCGTCCTCAGTCCCCCAAGATATCTTGTTGTTTCCCCCTCAGATATCAACAGTGATGGTGTCCTGGATGAGCAGGAGCTGGAGGCCCTCTTCACTAAGGAGGTGAGCATCTTGGAAGCCATAGGTGCAGGGGATGCCCAGACCAGCCACATGTCCCCTCAGGGATCCTAGTGGTCCCCTTAGGCACCCCTGGATGTGAGTTCAGGGGAAACTACAACTCCCAGTAGCCCCTGGGGCAAAACGAGGCTTCCAGGAGTGGCAGGGTGCCCCAAGTACTGATGGGAGTTGAAGTTGTCTGGGGGTGTGTGCAAGGAGGTGGAGTAGCCTAGGCAAGAGGTTGCCTGAGCCTACCTCTTGCTTGACTCTGCAGCTGGAGAAGGTGTATGACCCAAAGAATGAGGAAGATGACATGCGGGAGATGGAGGAGGAGCGGCTGCGTATGCGGGAGCACGTGATGAAGAATGTAAGGAGGGCCCAGCCATGGGCAGGGTTAGCAGCGTGCAGGGGGGCCCAGCTATGTTGCTTATCCTTACCTGGCTCCCCAGGTGGACACCAACCAAGACCGCCTCGTGACTCTGGAGGAATTCCTTGCATCCACTCAGAGGAAGGAGTTTGGGGACACTGGGGAAGGCTGGGAGGTGAGGACATGGAGAATTCATGGGTCCTGAATATGTTTCCCTCCCAACCCTAACCCTTTTTTCAGGGCTCCTGACCACTTTTCTTAACTCTCTGGGTCTCTGCCCCCCTCTACCCATGGGTTGCTGTCCTCCTCTCTCTTTGGGTCTCTGTCCTCACCCCTACACACACCGTACCTGTTCTCCCCTTTCTCTGGGTCTTTGTCCCCCTCCCCGGCTCCCACTCAGATCTCTCTCATCCACACACATGGCCCAGGCCTCCCAGCCTTCTTTAAACCTTCATTAGTAGAGTCCTCTCCAACATGGGTGGGCCACGACAAGAGTCACCTGCTCATGGCCCCTGTCCCCATCCCGGCAGACAGTGGAGATGCATCCTGCCTACACAGAGGATGAGTTGAGGCGTTTTGAGGAGGAGCTGGCCGCCCGGGAGGCAGAGCTGAATGCCAAGGCCCAGCGCCTCAGCCAGGAGACAGAGGCTCTGGGGCGCTCCCAAGGCCGCCTGGAGGCCCAGAAGAGAGAGCTACAGCAGGTGACTGGCCAGGGAAGCTGGGCCCATCCTCTGAGTCCATGGTGGCCCTTATCCTTGTGTGTCCAAAGGCTGAGAAGGCCTACGGTCTCTGTGTTTAATCACTGGTAGATCCTAATGTGGCCGCCATCTTGAGTAAGGGCACAGACATTGTCCCCATCCCTGACAGCTCTTCAGTTGCCATGTTGAATAAGGGCAGGGGGTTGTAAGAGGAAGAGGTCTAAAAAGGCCCAGGCGGAAGGAGAAGGTGACTCGGTAAGGGTTCAGTGAGGGCTTCCCTGTCCCAAGGTGTGACCCAAGATATGACAAAGGAGGGAGAACTGGATCTTTGTTATTAAACTCAACTGTCAACGAAGGAGAAAAACTGAGGCCCATGGAGAAAGGACTGTGACCACTTAGCAGCTTGTGGAGCCTCAGCAGCGAACCCTCTTGCCTATGCAATCTCCTCTATCTCCTGCAGGCGGTTCTGCAAATGGAACAGAGGAAACAGCAGCAGCAAGACCTCAGAGACACAGCCCCGGGCCCTGAGGGACAGCTCAAGTTCCACCCGGACACAGGTGCTGGCCCCTGGGCCAGGGAGGAGGGAGGGAACTGGGGGCCTGGACTCCTGGTTCTGAGGGAGGAGGGGGCTGGAATGTATAGTGCTACCATTTCCTTTCTTTATTTCCAGATGACGCTCCTGTCCCAGCGCCAGCCGGTGACCAGAAGGATGTGGCTGCTTCAGAAAAGAAGGATCCTGAACAGCCCCACAAGCTGCCCCAGCCGGATTCCCAGCACTTGTGATTCCCCAGGGCGCTCTGGATTCCTACCAACGCAGCCGATGGGAGGGGGGTGAGGTGTCACAGTCAGCCTCCTCTGGGGATAACCTGTGTGGCCTCCTAGGGGAAGCGGGGCAGGGTGACACTTCCCAAATGCTACCTAGGCCTTCTCTCTGCCACCTCGGCTTCCACAGCCTCCCAGTCTGTGGTCCCTTCTTTCTGTCCCCCTCCCAGGGACTTGCCTTCTCATGTCATCGGGCGCTCACAGGGTTGGCCTAGCTTAGGAAAGCCCCCTGCCTCGAGAGGGTCTGCTGTGTGCCTGCCTTCCTAGACGGTTTGGCCTCACTGCCCCAAATTGGGGCCACTCTAGCATCCAGCATCCCACAGCTGCTGGAATCCTGCCTCCTGTTCTGGGCCCAGCTTCTATTGGTTTATGGGGCTTGGGTGGTCCTTGAGACCTTTCTCTGCCTTTTGTGGGACCAATGATGCCTCAAAGACAGTGTCTTCTCCATGGCTGGGTTGAGGGGCAGCAGAGTCCTCAGCAGAGCTGATCAGCTCTGATACCAGGAGCACCTACTCTCCCTGACCCCTGGCTTCCTGCCATTTCAGCTTCAGCCTCCTTCTTGACAGCTTGGCCCCTTGCCCCTTCCCCACACAGCCACAGAAGGGCCTCAGAGCTGACCCCACTCCAGGATCGAGCTCCAGTCCCTCAGCCTCAGTTGGAGGCCCCACCTGCCTTTTTGGCCTTACCTTACACTGCTACGTGTCCTGCTGTGTACTCCAGTTCCATCCAAATACACTTTCTGGGACAAATCCATGCCTCTGTTTATATATATACTATTCCCTCTAAAACCCTATCCCCACTTTACCTGCCTAAGTCCTCCTCATTCTGTAAGATTCAACCGAAGCATCATTTCTGAGTGGCTCCATCCTGGCACCTTTCTGTCCTCTCCTGATGAGTCTGCTGCCTACACACACCCCATACACCTTCAGTGGGATACTTTCATCCACAAGACAGAAAACCCAAACCTAGGCTCAAATAATAAAGAAAAGTGTATTATTGCCCAGAACAAGAAGTCCCAACGTAGGGTGGCTCCAAGGCCTTCAGGGAACCAGGTTCTCCCGTCTAGCTCTTCCATGGTAGGTATAGGGGCTGCACTCCTCTTGTCCCAGCATAGCTGCAGTTGCCCCGAATGTTACACCTGTCTGCACCAACAGCTGATGAAGGAAATTGGCAGGGGCTACATTAAATAGAGCTGCTCCCCATCTCCCCAGGGCTGGTACACCAACACATAACTGGACATGGGGCACGTCAAGTTTAGCATCCACAGAGGGAAAAAATGTAAAGGAGACTCCGATGATAAAAATTATCTGGGATGCTCATTAACAATACATATTCCCATTCTCATATGTTATTTTCAGCCTTATTACTGTATGAGAAGTTTCTTGCTTATCAGCTCTTTCCCATTATTTATTTTTTAAAGATTTTTATTTGGGAATTGGGGGGATGGGAACAGCGCTGGGGAATTGGGGGGAAGGGGAACAGACAAGTTGCTGTCCTTTTGTTCTTCAGTCTAGTTGTGGAGGACGTTGCTTCACTGGCCCAAGTTGGCACCATCATTGCGCTCTTCCCGGGTGAGGCAGATCAGTTGCCGGCTTCTGGATGGCCGCTCACGCTGGCTGCTGGCTCCACACGGTAGCCCAAGGCAACCCGCTGCAGCCATCGCCGGCGACTCACAGCAGCCCAGCTCCAGGTTGAGCTGTTGTTCAGCATTTTAGCTGTAAAGGGCAGTGTCACTGGCCCTCATATGTGGGATCCGAACTGGGGCCCTCTGGCGTCCCAAGCCAGCTCTTAACCAACACGCCACTCTGCCAGCCCTTTCCCATTACTTTAATTCAATAGGAATAAATTACTATTGGCGCTGTAAAACAAATAAAACATTCCCAGACCCGGGGATGTCCAAGGGAGGGTCCTGGGAAGTTATATGTGCCATGCTCCCCACCCCCATCTGAATCCAGTGACAATGACAGAAAACATCAACTCTCTGCTTCTCTTGGAAAACTGGGAGCTGAACTCAGTGACCCAATCTGGGAAGTGGGCATAAAATGGTAGCAGCTTTCCAACATCCTTTGAAGGGTTCGATAATACACATGAGGGGGTGGCCGGTTAGTTCAGGTGGTTAGAGTGCAGTGCTCATAACACCAAGGTTGCCGGTTCAATCCCCACATGGGCCACTGAGCTGCGCCCTCCACAACTAGACTGGAACTACTTGACTTAGAGCTGATGGGTCCTGGAAAAAAACTATTCCCCAATAAAAAATTTTTTTTTTAAAGATTTTATTGGGGAATTGGGGGAGGGGAACAGACAAGTTGCTGTCCTTTTGTTCTTCAGTCTAGTTGTGGAGCTTCAGTGGCCCATGTTGGTATTATGATCATTGCGCTCTTCCCAGGTGAGGTAGTCGCTAGCCAGCCATTGGACGGCAGCTTACGAAAGCTCACGCCCGCTGCCGGCCACTCACGGTAGCTCGCGACAGGCCACTGCAACCCCACTGCAGCCTACGCCATCGCTGGCGACTCACTGCAGCCCAGCTCCAGGTTGAGCTGTTTGTTCACCATCTTAGCTGTAGAGGGCAGTGTCACTGGCTCTCATGTGGGATCTGAACTGGGGCCCTGCTGTTCAGAGCTGGCATCCCAAGCCAACTCCTAACCAATGCCCCACTCGGCCAGCCCCCCAATAAAAATTTTAAAAAGTAGTAATAATACATGAATAGCATGACTCCTGGACAGAAATTTGAGGTCAGCAAGCAATAGTTATTATATGGACATATTTATACAACCAGTTTCCTGGACCCTGCCCCTGACTTCCATATCTAAGGAGACCTATCCAGTCACCCAGGATGCCTTTCACATTTTGCAATTCTTTGTTTGCAAGTGTGTCCATTTGGTTACTGTCTCCCAAAATAGACCAAGTTCCAAAATGAACGAAGAAGGAGGCTCATGGTGTCTAAATTTCACTGCCCCGCACACGTGGACAAGAATGGAGTCACCTCAGCCCTGGAGCAAACGTCACCCCTTCACTCCCCCTGCCTGACCTTTAATTCTAGTCTTAAGTAGACAGAAGCATATTGACCCTTTATACTTAATCTGAAAATGGTTTCCGTTTTGATCTGCGTGTGTAAAGGTCTTAAAATGATTACTCTCTCTTCGGAATGTCTGTCCCATAGGGGCTCCAGCTCCAGCTGTAGACAGCTTGGAATAGATAGAGGATTTGGGAGTCGCATGGAAGAGAAAAAAATGAGAAGCCAGGAATCGGGACCTCGTGTTTCCCAGGGAGTCCACCTCTGCCTTCACCCCACATTCTGGGTCTCTGTCCCCCTCTGTATTGACCATGTGTTTCTGATGTTTTGACATCTGGGGCCTTGCAGACACTGGAAGGACTGCTCCTCCCAGGGTTAGTCAGTTGCTAGACAGAGTAAATCACTCAGTCGTTAGTAAGCGCACCTCTCCTGTGCCGACTAACCAATACACGGCCTAGACCCCAACCACCTCCTTTATCAAGCCCCTACAGTCCTGAGCCATATTCCCCTGTCCTAATCTTCCCAATCCAGATACCGGACAACTTGGAATAGTCCATACTCCCCAGAACCCGCCTAAATGATTCAAACTAGCCAGACCTAAACGTGCTTATCTTGTTTTGCCTGTTCCTTTCTACAGGAACCACAATAAAGCTCTCGCCCCTCATGCCTATCTCCTGACTAACCCTGGTGCTTCCCTGTGTGGCCCTGTAGCATGGCTGCCCCTTCCTCTTGGGAACTATAACAAGCTATCTTTTCAATGGCAATTGTCTCTTGATCTGTTGGCCTCATCAGGCCTGAATAATAGTAAATCCTCCACTTTTTAAACACTCTTTCTGTGGTAGACAGAATAATGGCTTCTCAAAAATGTCTGTACCCCAGTCCCCAGAACCTGTGAACATGTGATCTTTGGCAGTAAAAGGGACTCTGTGGATGTGATCAAATTAAGTCTCTTAAAATGGGGAGATAATCCTGGATTTTCCAGATAGGCCCAATGTAATCTCGAGCATCTGCATAAGAGAGAGGCAAGAGGGTGACAGAAGGAGATGTGACCACAGAAGGTCAAAGTGATGCCGGGCCATGAGGTGAGACATGTGGGTGGCCTCTAGACGCTGAAAAAGGCAAGGAAACAAATTCTTCCCTCAGAGCCTCCAGAAGGAACACAGGCCTGCTGATGTTGCATTATAGCCTATTCCAATACCACCACCCCCACCCAACCCCCCACCCCGCATTAGCCTCTAACCCTATTAAATTAGGAGGGAGTGCCTCGGGGTAATCTCTCTGAGGGAGTGTCTGGGTATGACCGGAGGCCGGTAAAAGCTCTCTCTTTGGGGAGTGTCTCAGGTGACTGGGACCTATTGGAATGATAATAGTTATCTCCCCTGGGAGGACACAGTAACAAGTGTTCTGGGGCTATGTGGCGGATGTGTGAAGGCATAGGATTTGCTGGAACACAATGGGATATGTTAATGGAAAGAGGCCTTAAGGCACACAAATCACACATGGTTGCTAATTGATTGAC